TTTGTACGTCTAGTGTTAATGAACTGCTCTGTTTTGTGATCATATTTTTTACTGTTTTATTAAAACTAGTGAAAATGAATAAAATCGGGATATTAAAAAACTCACTTAGTGGTTTTTCGCTGGATCAAAAACTGCAAATTAAAGAATTAGGACGGCCAATACCCGATTTAAAAATTGAGAAACAAAGTGGTAGCGGACAAAAATCGCGCTGTCGCAAATTTAATAAAAATGTGTATGATAAAAACAGCTGTATATGTGGTTGTGAAGAAACGAATAAACTATTTTGTTTTGTATGTGTTCTATTTGGAGGTGACGAGACTTGGTCAAAAAAAGGTACAGACGATCTTATACATATATGGGATAAAATGAAGACCCACGAAAAATCTAAAGTCCATATGAATAATGTTTTTAGCTTTTCTATTCTTGGTAAATTAAATATAAGGACTCAACTCAATTCGGCTTATCGCAATGATCTAATTAAATATAATAATCAAGTGGATAAGAATCGATATGTATTGAATAAAATTATTAATTGTATAAGGTTTTGTGGAGCATTTGAGTTAGCCTTAAGGGGTCATGATGAAAAGGAAAATTCGGAAAACAGAGGCATATTTAAGGAGCTGGTGAATTTTAGCGCCGAATTAGACAACGAATTGAAAGTCCATATTCAAAGTGCCAAACTTTTTGAGGGTAGCTCAAAAACAACTCAAAACGAGCTTCTTGAGTGCATGCTAGATGTTTATCATGAAGAAGTTAAGAAGGAGATTGCAAATTCTCCTTTTGTTGCAGTAATTGCCGATGAAACGACGGACGTAGCCTGTGAATTTCAGTTAGTTATTATTTTCAGATATTTGTGTAATGGACAACCAGTTGAGAGATTTTGGAGATTTTACGTCCCCGACGGACACGATGCCAAATCAATCGCTGCATGCGTTTTAAATGTTGCAAATCCATTACTAGATCAAAATCCAAACAAATTAATAGCTCAAAGCCATGATGGTGCGTCTGTTATGAGTGGTGAATTGAATGGCGTTCAAAAAATTATTAAGGAAACTTATCCACTTGCAAATTATGTTCATTGCTATGCACACCAGTTAAATCTAATTATGACAAGCGCATGCTCTGTCAATAAGCAGGCTAGAATATTTTTCCATAATTTATCTGGATTGTGCTCTTTTTTTTCGACGTCTCCTCAAAGAACAAAAATTTTGGATGAAATAGTTAATCGCAGATTGCCAAGATCTTCCCAAACACGTTGGAATTTTCAGTCACGAGGTGTTCATACAGTTTATGAAAATAGGAAAGACCTGATTAAAGTTATGGACAATATAGAAAGTACTTCACGCGATTCTTCGTCGATTAATCAAGCCAGTGGGTACAAATTAAAGCTGCAAGATACAAATTTTGTATTTTGGCTAAGTATTTTCCATAAAATAATGCCACATGTTGAAATTGTCTTTAACCAATTACAAAAAGTACGCACCGATTCTGTTAAGGTCAAAAATGATTTAGAGAATTTTGAAGCAGCAATTCAAACTATACGAGAACAAATGGATAGCATTATTGACGAGATTGAACGAGTGCAGAGAGAAACTGATGAACCGGCAAGAAAAAAAAGGCAAGTTGAAGAAGGCAGCAAAAAACGGGAAGCGTTAGAAATATGCGATGCAGTATTATCGCAAATAAGAACAAGATTTAACTTTTCTGGACATTTAGTTGCTTCTAATTTATTTGTGTCTGAAAAGTTTTCTGTTTATAAACATCAGTTTCCTGAAGCACATTTAAATGACACATGCACACAATTTTCATTTTTAGACAAAAACAGGCTTAAAACTGAGTTACAAGTATTATATCAGAGAGAAGAATTGAGTACTACTTCTGGAGCTGTTCCACTATCCATTTTATTGAACGAGGAAGGATTAAATTGTACGTTTCAAGAAACTCTTAAGCTCTTAAGTATTTTAATCACTATACCGATGTCAACATCTGAAGCAGAACGCTCTTTTTCAATGCTGAAACGGATTAAAACTTTCCTCAGAAACACAATGAAGGAAGAAAGGCTTAGTGCTTTAGGAATGCTGTCTGCAGAAAAACATTTTGTTAGTGGCATTGAATATTTTAATAATAAGGTAATCGAAAACTTTGCTACCAAAAAAGAAAGAAGAATGGACCTCATATATAGAAAACTATAGTTATAGGTACTTCTCCACACTTGTTTTATAATTTGGTGCGCGTGTGTAAATAGTTTTATTTTTGATTTTTTTTTGGACATATAGATTTATTGAACCTCAAGAACTTTGACCACTAACTATCAGGGGTAAGTTATAAGTTATTCTTTACAATTTTGAATCGATTCAAAATTATGGCTTCCATTCTGGCACTACCTCACGGAATTGGCACGAGCCGCCACTGGAAAGGGTCATCTTGGGGACACACGCTTAGTAAAGTGTATGATCTTACATTTTGAAAATAATATGTTCCATTTGAACCAGCTTGAGTTTCGACGTCAAAAAAACACCACCTTCGCAGTTTTGATGTTGCTCGATGACATAATGGACGCTTTCGAAGAAAAAGAATTTTTGCGTAATCGATTCGTATTTAAGCAACAGTAAAACAATTGGTAAAACTCGGGAATTAAGAAATCAGATGAAAAATATATTGAACATGGTGTACCACAAAGATGGTAACTATATACTGTACCAGGTGAATTTTATACGGATGAAAACTATGGGCCTTTAGAATCGGTTGGACAGTACGTCGACTAACACCACAAACAGTCTCCAATTTGCGGGTACTTAACGTAGGATCTACATAAACCTGCCCTAAAACCCCCACTTCTATTGCTTCGTTCCTTATGGGATTTTCAATGTTGCGTTTTTTATTAGCGACTGACCCAGTTTCCCAAAATTTAGCTACTAGTTCTAGAACACATTTTCCATGCACGTTACTGTTCTCATGTTGCTCATTAAACATTTCGATAATTTCATCTCTTTCTGCTGTGGAATATACCATGGTTAATTTATGTAATAAAGCGTTACAAGTTATTTTAGCAACAAAGTTTGGTCAAAACAATCGTAAATCAGGTACTAAATTCCTATTTACAATGAGTACGAGATATTTCCTTATCTTTCTTCAAGAAATAACCTTTTTGCCACAATAGCTATTTTCAACAACAAAATGATAAACAAACCATGGACGTAGTGAAGAAAAACATTTACTTATTAAGTACATTCTTTAAGTCAAATTTCTTCTGAAAGTAGTACAAACTAATCTGATATACCTATTAAAGTCTACTTTAAGCTTTAAATCAATAAATCTTCAAAACTACTGAACTGAAGCTCATGTATTTTACATCATTATAAAGGGAATTGAAAGACCTTTAAAATAAGGTATCACTCGACCCCCCCTTTCCAATTAAGATGTTAGGGTTGGTGTCACCCCCGCCCAGGGGGCTGCTCGGGTTAGCGTGATTTTTTGCCAAACTTGTGTCCCCCTCGAAAACAAAATCGACAGGTCTGAGCGTTTTTCCAAAAAAAAAACTGAGCTGCCAGTGAATGCGTCTGTTTCGATTGCGTTGCGCCACCCTGTATATTTAAAAAGCACTAAACAATACCTAAATTTCCGTGAACATATCTCGCATACTGACTACTATATAAGGAGTGCTGGTAACTTGAATATTCCTTTTGTGAGATTATCAAAAAGTCAGAAAAGTTAAAAAATTACAGCGCCTAAATACGACAATAATTTACCACAGCAAGTCACATCTTTAAACTTAGGTAAATTCATTTAAACAGACAACACAAGTGTCCTTGCTGAAACATCAGTTCTTGGATTAGAAATTTCAATATTTGCTTTACCTGTTATTGTTTTTTAAATTGATCTTATTTTACTGTAGGTATCTGTTTATACCCACATTTAAATTGTGCCATTTTACATAATCCTTATATGTACATAAATACAGGGTGACTTTGAAGTTGAGTCATTAATTTTCAGATAATGATTGTAGAAGGAAGATAAACCAAAATATGTGTGTAAAAATAAAAAAAAAAATGTTACCTTGTTTTATAAAGTATCCTCCCGACAAGTATTTCAGTGCGGACCTGTATTTGATCGTGCGGTCTTGGAGCACCGGCATGCCCTCCCCAGTGAGGTCTTAAGTCAGCTGATTCACGAGCCCTTTGTACTACATTAACAAAGGCACGAGGGGTTGGTTGCACTCGATTGGGAAACCGATCCGCATAAACATGTGCCATTTTTGATTTCGTTTGAGCCACGCAACAGACACCACTATTCACTCACGCGTTACCGACTGACACTGACTGAATATAACTGAATAAAATAATTGTAAAAACATCGTTCCAAATTCTTTCGCTTTTTTGTTTCCGATGCGATGAACCGATAAGGCGGATTATATCCGTTGTCGCCAAACACGAGCACATAATATTATTATTGAGACAGGGCGGTACTCAAACTTCCAAAGGGCTATAACTTTGTTACTTTAATTTTACCAGAAAAATGGTAAAGGAAAAAAACATTTCTTTTGATCAGATCTACTCACTGTTAAAATAAATGACTCAACTTCGAAGTCACCCTGTATATGTGATCTGCATCTGACCACTACTATTAAAATCCGATTCTCTAAGTATGCTATAAGATTTTGTGGCAGAGTGACGTGTACTGTAGAATTATAAATTGCAACAACATAAAGAAGTGTTTACACTTGTTTTCGAAATAAGCATGACCTTGATTTGACCACGTAAATGTCGTAATCAAAGACAAGGAAACAACCACGACCTTTCTGTGACCCTGAAAAGCAGACCGTCCTAATGAGTTTTGTCCTAACTCCTAACTTGCCCTTGAATTGACTTTGTAAGGAAAATGATGAGGATCCACATGAAGGTGTTTTTTGAAATACGTCTTTCAATAAGCTGATTTTTCGGGTTTTTGTTTGGGAGCTTGATGTCATTTTTCTCTCATTGCAAATGACAAACGAATTGCAGGTTCAAATTCACAAATACATTCTTCAAGGAAAGCAGAATCGATAAGTCTGTATCAACGATTCTGAAGGAGAAATTGAGAATGAGCATGATCAAGAAGCATATCCTTAAGAATGACTTATTCAGGTAAGCGATGACCAAATGTTCGACAAGTAAGTCAAGTTAGCTATTTTTCAGGTAGTAAAGTAGTTCATCAGTTGCAACCACATTAGCTCAAGGAAAATAATCTTTCAGTAACGGTACCAGTTCCGGTATACTGGTTCCTCCATCTTAAAAATACAAATAATGGTTGCGTAACTGCTGATCCAAAAAAGAACTCCTAATAAGATTTTAAATTTTTAAAAATCGCCATAGGTGTAAATCGTTAGTTGTATTGGGACATTTTTTTTTTCAAAAACGACACATCGAAATCAAGCAAGATTACATTTTTCTACCTAAAATATTAGTCTCTCCAAAAATGTAATTTATTTTTATTTCATATACAGGAATGAAAAAATTATAGACAAGAGATGAAACGTCATATTGAAATTCTCATTGTACCAGCTTGTTGGTGATAAAAATACTAATACTTTGTTAGTTAGTTCAGGGAAATTAGAAAATAGTTTTGACATAGTTCGTGTTCCCAATGTAACGGGTGATTTTTTAAGAGGTATAGGATTTGATTTTTAAAAAAAACACAAAACATTTGAAAAAACGATTAAATCTTTATTTGAGTCGATAGAACGGTCGATATAATTTGATGTTTAAAGATTATTTCATGTAAATGTTGGCCGCGGCTCCGCTTTAGATGGCCCATGCGCAAGGTCCAATTTTGGCACACTCTCTCCAACATATCGGCCGGTATCTCACGAATAAATACTTCAATATTGGCTTCCAGTGCGTCAATCGTTGCTTTAGACATTAGCCTTAACATGGCCCCTCAAGAAATAGTCCAACGGCGTTAAATCACACGATCTAGGCGGCCAATTGACGGGTCCCAAACGTGAGATAAACTGTTCACCGAACTCGCCTCTCAATAGGGCCATTGTTTCGTGTGCGGTGTGGCATGTGGCACCGTCTTGTTGAAACCACATGTCAGCCAAGTCCAGCTCTTCCATTTTGGGCAAAAAAAAGTTTGTTATCATCGCACGGTAGCGCTCGCCATTCACAGTTACGTTCCGGCCATTGTCGTCTTTGAAGGAGTATGACCCGATGATGCCACCGGCCCATAATCCACACCAAACAGTGATTTTTTCGGGATGCATTGGTAGCTCTTGCAATGCTTCTGGCTGGTCTTCACTCCAGATGCGGCAATTTTGCTTGTTAACATACCCATTCAACCAGAAATGAGCTTCATCGCTTTAATGTCCAATAATGTAAACTGGGTTCGAAATTTAGTCACAAGCTTCCGAACAGCTTCCTCAGTAGGCCGAGCAAATTGCCCGTAAATTGGAAGCAGTGCTCGATGCACTCTCTTAACCGAGCATGAATTTTGATAGTAAAATTCAATAATTTGCAAGCGTTGTTCGTTCGTAAGTCGATTCATGGTTAAATTATAGACCAAACTGAACAAGTTTGACAATGACACAAGACACGATTCACGCGTCATCTGTCAAAAACAGTGTTGCCAAAAAGATACTAGCAAAAAAATCACCCATTATAATCTAAATTTTGAAACTTCGTTAGTGTCAGTTCTCCTACTGATTTCGTATCCCTTACCGTTTACCGCTTCCGAGATGCTTATGTTTTTTACATCAAAGCAGCCTGCCACGCTTTTTTTTATAAATAAAGGAAATGCTGTTGTATTTCGTCCTTTCTTTTTTGTAATTAATTAATAAATTAATAGCGTACGATAAATAAAATCAAATAGTGAGTCAACGCAAAACAGCTGTCTAGCGGCGTGCGAATTTAAAAGAGGTTAACAGCCCAAAAAAATGTAGAGAGTAGCACCCAAACAACAACCAAAACAAACAACTAAGCCTAAGGTATATACAAAAAAGGGTGCAACTCCATAAACTGGTGATTAGGGCCCAATATCCCAAAATTGGAAATCAAACGAAGGACCTACGCACCTTAACCTATACTTCAACAACAACACACGAGGTTGACTGTCAATCAATGTCAAAAGTAAGTAGGCGCCCCAAATTCGTAGCCCCGCAGATTCCAAACCAAAATCTATGAGAAAGATAACAATAGCGAATGAAACATTCCGCAACCGAATCTACCTAGATAGAGCATCGCTGGTTGCATATGGGTAGACCACATATAGTGTTATTTCCCAAAAAAACGTTGTAGGTAAAAGAAACCAGTGTACGAGGAATCAACGATATTTTATGAAGGTATTTCTGAGATAGTCGTTTATAAAATATTATAACATAGTGTCCAAAAGATTTCAACACAATAATGGGTCACTAAGAAAGAATGAAATATACTAAGGGACATATAAATCCGAACACGAAGTTTAAATGGTTTTATTTTAATAAAAGTTGGTGAATGTATTTATCTTACTGTAAAATGTAAAGTGAAAAAAATTTTAGCCGTATCAGTTGGACATTCCGGTTTTTATACTGCCTTTTTTTTAATTCACTAACGCTCTAAAAATGAATATTTCAGTCGCAGTAAAGAATCAACGTTGGCGGATTTTGGTTCTTTACATCCTTTACGATCGGTTACGATGCCTAGAGTACGGAGACCTGCACGATTTCGTCAACTTAGTGAGTTTGATAGGGGCCGTATAGTGGGACTTCGGGGAGCTGGACTTTCTTTTCGGGCAATTGCAGTTAGAGTGCAAAGAAGTGTAGACACTGCGGTTAGGTGTTGTCAGGCATGGCTTCGAGAAGGCCGTACGCAAAGAGCACGGGGCACTGGACGCCGCCGTAGAACAACAGACCGTGAAGATCGCCGCCTAAGATTGTTGGCCTTAAGGGACCGTTTCTCCACTACCAGGTCCATTGCAAATGAATGGTTTGCAGAACACGGAAGACCTATTGGCATGCGAAGTGTTTACCGACGAATGAGACGTTTTGGCTTGTTTTCATACCGGTCACACTGGGTCCTCCCTTTAACTCGAGAACACCAACGTAATCGCCTTGAGTGGTGCAGACAACGGTCACTCTGGGATCAGGAATGGAACAGTATTGTCTTTAGTGACGAGTCTCGATTTTGTTTAGGCATGCACGATGGTCGTGCCAGCGTTAGAAGGCGACGTGGTGAAAGGAGGAATCCACAGTTTTTTGTTGAAAGACATGTTCATCACACTGTTGGAGTTATGGTTTGAGGTGCTATAGCTTATGGTTCCAGGTCACCTTTAATCTTCATCAGAGGTAACATGAACGCGCAGCGTTATATCCACGAAGTTCTAGAACCCCATCTTTTACCCTATCTTGACACCCTGGCAGATCCATCTTTCCAACAAGATAATGCCCGACCACATGTTGCAAGAGTCACAATAGACTTCTTTCAACATAATGATGTCACATTGTTACCATGGCCACCAAGATCTCCCGACTTATCCCCAATTGAGCACGTGTGGGATATGATGGGTAGGAGATTGCTCAATTTGCAACGTCCTCCTCAGACTCTAGAAGCACTTCGAGAGGAGTTGGTGGTTGCCTGGAATGAGATACCACAGGAGGACATTGACCACCTGATCAGAAGTATGCCTAGGTGCGTTGGAGAATGCGTAGCGCATCAGGGTGCATCCACACATTATTAAAGGTCAAAGGGCTTTAAAGCAGTGCAATCATTTTGAAATTTTTATCATTTACTTATTATGCTTCATTTTATTAAAATAAAACCATTTAAACTGGGTGTTCGGATTTATATGTCACTTAGTATATTATATAGTTTCATTTGGCCAAAAAAGATGGAGTGTTATCTGAAAACAGTTACCGTTATTATATGTCACCCTTCCCTTCTCTGATCTGACGATGTCATATGTAAAGTGTCACAAAACGTCACCGACGTAGAATCATGAGAAAACATTGGCAAAAATGCGGTTTGTTGCACCTCGAACAAGACGTTATCAGTCAACACATCAACTCAGGCCCATTCATCTCTTGGAGAAGAAAAGTCCGGCGTCTCATGCTACTCAACAGCGAACATCCCTTTTCCAAAATCTACTACAAATCGTACACCCAAAGGAGGATGGAGCAAATCAGACATCTAACGCAATACAAAAGAAAAATACATCCTTTCAGTGTGTTGAACATCTATTGGGAATATTCGATAGCCTGGATGTACGTTATAGATCTCTTTGCAAGAACTGTAAGGGCCACGTATAGTTGGAATGTCCCAGCAACGATTGGTCTGAGACGTATGTTTGTTGTTACAGACATCGTCTTCGCGGTCGATATGCTTGCAAGGTTTTACTTTGGCTACTATGACTGTGAGACGAACAAGACAGTTCTTAACTGGAAAGGCATAGCTAAGCACTATGTGGAAACTTATTTCATCTTCGATTTCTTGGCTGGTTCGCACACGCTCTTATATGGTATGAAGTACATCTCTGCAAGCCTCAGCAGCGTACACGGTTGGTTGGTGTTCTTTGCAGTTTTCCGTGTAATCCGTATACCAAGAATCATGGACGCTTACAATATCTTCAGACTACGCGTGTCAGCTTCAACATTCACCAACACTCTTCTGAGGTCTCTAATCATGCTTACCATCATCTCGACGTTCTCTTACTGCATGTTTTTCACTGCGGAAGACGCAGTCGAGGGCTTTTTCTACGGTACCATGAGGTACGACCTGTTCAATATTCATAGAATATATACGGCAACACTGCAAACGTTCGCCGTAGCGCTTTTTGGGCAGGTAGAAGGAGCCCAATTGGCTATAGAAATGGTATCAATCACCTTCCTCATATACGGTTTCTGGATAAACACCTTAACGCTGGTCATACTCCTGCATATGTGGAGGAAGTTTCCTCTGAGCCGTACCGAAGAGGCATACCAAGAGTTCAAGCAGTTCGTGAAGTACCAAACGCTGCCTCCCGAATTGAGGATCAAGTTCTTCATGTACTTAAAGTACAAGTTCAAACATCGGTACTATAGGGAGGCGACTATAGAGAAGAGCGTCTCGAGCATATTGAGGCGGGAGTTGCATGTTACTTGGCATATGCAGAGGATTGGATTTTTCGGGTAATTAAAATGTAAATCTCTGTAATCCGCCACGTACCGGGTGCAACGGCTCAACCGAGAGCCGACCGTTATTTTGTATATTTCCGAAATTCCGAAGGTGTAGATAGAACCGAAATGTTGGTAATGTTTTCCTTCAATAAATGTGGTTCCAATTGAGAAAATAATGCGCATTGAGATTAAAAAGGCATTTGTCTTACTTCCAGTGGATAAGCCAAATATCATCTTATAAAATTCGTATTTTTAAACATATTTTTCTAGGAAGATCCCAACAAGAATGTTGAACAACCTGGTGGCGAGGTTTCGAACTGAAATATTTCTCACGAATGACGTCATTATCGTTGCTGGTGTTCCCGGGGATTGCATGTACTTTATCAACTACGGCACCGTTGCCATTTACTCACTTGCAGGTAAGATTAGCGATCTTATAGTTTGTACAGATCCAATCTTTGGTGACCACTATCGTCTATTATGTATGTATCGAAGAAAGAGACTAGACCAAAACAGTGATCATCGCGTGATTATTGCTGATGTATACTAAGTGACATATAAAACCGAACACCCTGTTTAAATGGTTTTATTTTAATAAAATTTTGTATAAGTACTTAATGAAGCATAATAAGTAAATGATAAAAAATTCAAAATGATTGCACTGCTTTAAAGCCCTTTGACCTTTAATAATGTGTGGATGCACCCTGATGTGCTACGCATTCTCCAACGCGCCTAGGCATGCTTCTGATCAGGTGGTCAATGTCCTCCTGTGGTATCTCATTGCAAATTGAGCAATATCCTACCCATCATATCCCACACGTGCTCAATTGGGGATAAGTCGGGAGATCTTGGTGGCCATGGTAACAATGTGACATCATTATGTTGAAAGAAATCTATTGTGACTCTTGCATTATCTTGTTGGAAAGTTGGATCTGCCAGGGTGTCAAGATAGGGTAAAAGATGGGGTTCTAGAACTTCGTGGATATAACGCTGCGCGTTCATGTTACCTCTGATGAAGATTAAAGGTGACCTGGAACGATAAGCTATAGCATCCCAAACCATAACTCCAACAGTGTGATGAACATGTCTTTCAACAAAAAACTGTGGATTCCTCCTTTCACCACGTCGCCTTCTAACCCTGGCACGACCATCGTGCATGCGTAAACAAAATCGAGACTCGACTGTTCCATTCCTGATCCCAGAGTGACCGTTGTCTGCACCACTCAAGGCGATTACGTCGGTGTTTTCGAGTTAAAGGGAGGACCCAGTGTGGCCGGTATGAAAACAAGCCAAAACTTCTCATTCGTCGGTAAACACTTCGCATGCCAATAGGTCTTCCGTGTTCTGCAAACCATTCATTTGCAATGGACCTGGTAGTGGAGAAACGGCCCCTTAAGGCCAATAATCTTAGGCGGTGATCTCCACGGTCTGTTGTTCTACGGCGGCGTCCAGTGCCCCTTGCTCTTTGCGTACGGCCTTCTCGAAGCCATGCCTGACAACACCTAACCACAGTGTCTATACTTCTTTGCACTCTAACTGCAATTTCCCGAAAAGAAAGTCCAGCTTGCCGAAGTCCCACTATACGGCCCCTATCAAACTCACTATGTTGACGAAATCGTACAGGTCTCCGTACTCTAGGCATCGTAACCGATCGTAAAGGATGTCAAGAACCAAAATCCGCCAACGTTGATTCCTTACTGCGGCTGAAATATTCATTTTTAGAGCGTTAGTGAATTAAAAAAAAGCAGTATAAAACCCGGAATGTCCAGCTGATAAGGCTGAAAATTTTTTCACTTGTTATTTACAGTAAGATAAATACATTCACCAACTTTTATTAAAATAAAACCATTTAAACTGGGTGTTCGGATTTATATGTCACTTAGTATATTTTAGTCTCGATGTAACCATTCAGTGTTCTTGCAATGATATCATTTTGGTAATACAGTTTTGTTATTTCTACCCTTTCTTGAATTGGATAAGTCATTATTCAGTATTTATCACTAGGTAGGTAACTGAACAGTTTGAAATGAAAGAAAGTTTTTCTAAGGCATACGATAACACTGACTGACGCCAAATGTTCTTGCTCGTATCCATGATGGCATGATTATAATTTTTGGCCGTGAATTCCATTATTATCAGTACTAAGTTGTCGAATTTTATTATAAAGTCAAATAGCCTCACAACGATTGAAAACAACAAGATAACAAAAGTTACTAAAAAGTTCATGGGAAATCTATAAATTAAAACAAAACGTGGGTCCATTTAAAACTCTAAAGTGTAACATCTTATTTTTGGATCACCCTGTAAAATATACTACAGTATATTCAGATAAGAGATAGACCGGACATAAACAAGACCACGTGATCATCGAACGCTGTAACATTCGGCAGGGACGTATTAAGAGTCACGCAGTACATATTTTAGATATTAGATGCTGCTTTGCGTAACTTTGTAGTAAATTAGCACAATTCGATGTGTATACGATTGGTGATGGATATAGGATCATGTGCGGATGGGGTAAGAAATATATAATGACGTAAATATACATAAGGGTTTCAAAATTTTCGCTTCGATTTCCAGCTTCGGATGCCGCCTGATGTTTGGTGAAATACAGTCGAATATAATCTCAAAATGGCGTTTAAATTAGCCTAAATTAAAAATAATCGTATATCTCTTAAAATTGCTTTTAGAATATTGATTAGTATATTTTTTGATTTCTAGGTAAATATGTAACCAAATTAAAACGTTCAAAACGTAAAAAAATGTGCATGGTTGAACATTGTCAGAAAGTAGATTCTTGAATAGGTTTTGCCAAAATGGGTTCAAAAATGTCAATAATTAATTAAAAAATACAGTAGCTTTATAATTACTTATAACTTACCGAATTTGATGAACGACATCTTTTATTGGAAAGATGAGCTTGATGAGCTTTCATCATCGCTACTGCCTGAAGCACCAACGTCAATAATGAATGGCTCGACTTGTTCCTCTAAAATATTGTCCAGTTCCCACATTCTCTTTTCAACTTTGTCTTTCACGTGCTTAATACAGTTTTCCCATTTTTGCGCTGTTATTAATTCTAGTGCTTCTTTGAAAAGTCCTTTGAGGTCACAAAATTTAAAAGTTGTATTGTGCTTAGCTATATAATTTTTAACCTCTGCCCATATGAGCTCAATGGGATTGAGCTCGCAATGGTATGGAGGTAAACGGAGCACAGTTTTATTTTGACTTGCTGCCATTTCGTCAATGGCGTATTTTTGATATTCCGCCTTGTGATCCTTGACAATTCTTAATAATTGTACTTTCAGCATTGCTTCTTCAAAGTTGATATTTTTCGAGCGGAGCCAATTTTGAACATCAACTTTCCTTGAAGCCGTTGTTGGGACCTTCTCCATTCTTCGAGAATGATAAGGCGCATTATTCAACACAATTACTGCGTTTTCCTCTAAGTTCGGTAAAATTTTTGAAAACCACTGTTCAAACGATTCGCCATTCATTTCCTCGTAGTAATCTCCAGTTTTCTTAGACTCAAAGCACCACAGACCGTCAACAACAAATCCATCCTCACTGCCAATATGGCAGATAATGAGCCTTTTCCCTTTACCTGGAAATCGAAGTACTAACTGGTGTAGATTTATTTCAATAAGCGAACCTTTTTCAAATGTTTTCATCACATTCAGCGAAAAAACATTGAGACTTGAGTATCAGATTGCTATAATTGGGATTATTTAGTCATATTGAAAGAAAGAATATTGAACGTCGTATGATTACTCAGCGCTTCACAATTTAATTTAAAGTTATAAACCTTTAAAAAATGAATGATCAGGAACCTGAAATACGCGCAAATATTAATATTAGCAAATTATAACTTTATAAAGCTTAAAGTATGAATTAAAATGATTACAAATATTAGGAACGGTACACAATATAAAACTTAGTAACTTTTTTTAAGTTTATAATATTCGACATATTTTAAGATTATATTAAAAAATTATTGAAATATCGAAAACACATAAAAACATGGCTTAAAAAAGTTCTAACAAATGAAAATGACAATAAAACATCCACGCATTTTATCGAAAGTTATAAAAGTTTTGTTACTTGTAATATGTTTTATCTGCCCCCTGGAATTAATGTTTAGAACCTTGTTCCCAAGGTTTGAAAAACATCCGATTGTTGTTTATTACTCGTATCTACCTGCTGGATTTTTTAATCCGGTGGACAGTCCATCTAGAAAGGCCCTCCTGAATGAAGTTACAGAATCATCAACCCATACTTTACTTTTAGTGTGTCCTGCGTTTACCCACGTTTCATCAAGGTAATAAATCTTCCTGTTTTGATTTCTATATTTCCCAATTTTTTTTAAATAATCCCTCCTCCATAGCACAATTTCTTCTCTATCCAGTAGTAAACTATTACGACCCCGTTTTTTCCATTTGAAATTTAAATGCTTCAGTAACGCATGGAAAGTTGATCGTTTGAAATTTGGCAACGTTGTATCTCCATTTACCTCCTGCAGTACTTTATCTATAGTAGGTATTTCATTCCTAAAGAAGAATTCATGCACTTTCCTCCTAATCGCATGCTTATCAGCTTCATCCAATGATTTAACAATACTTTTGCGATGTTTACTGGTCATTGGCTCAGAAAAGGTGTGATTTTTTTTGTATTGTCTTAACACATTAAACACTGATGCGCGACACACCCCAACTTTGTGAGAAACCTTCACAACAATTTCTTTGATGGTTGATGCCTCGTTCTCCTCGCGATAGATCTTATATATATTCAAAATGACCTCTTTCATTTCTGCACTCAGGTGTCTTTTTTTAGAGCGTTTCCTAGGTGGACTACAGGAGTTTACAACTTCATCGGCAGTATCTGTACTACTGGGCATTTTGCGCAAGCAGTTGATAACAATAACAATCAATAACAAGGTATAACAATAACAACGACAAACTCAACAACTTAATAAGATAACAAGCGAAAACGTCCAAAGAAATATCAAATTGCAATGATGCACACGACATACGTAACACGTCTGAACCTGAATGTGACTCTGCCTTGATACGACTGCTCTGCCGCTCGGCATAGGCATTTAATTGCGAATTGACCAATGAGGGCTCCTGTTTTACGTCGAGACGGCGGCGTTAGCGTGAAAATCACCCGAACCTTTTGTTTACATCCGATCTATCTCTTATCTGAATATACTGTAAGGAAGTCACAAATGCGGGTGCGACCTTTTCGTTGGGCCACCAAGCGTAGTTAAAATATTTTTGCTACTTCCAGGTAACGAAGTCTGCCATCTAGAAGACGGCGCCTACTTTGGAGAAATAGCGATGATCTTCGACGAGCTCCGCGTTGAAACAGTGGTCGCTGTAGCTCCGTGCGAGTTGTTCATCTTGAACCGAAGCGACTTCGTAGAGATTATCCACCCTTACCCTCGAGTCTTGGAGGAGATCAGGCAGCAAGCTAGGAAGAAAATCTCAGCTACGGGATTGGAAAGCGTAGAACCACCTAAAAAGCAACGATCTAATTCGTCGATTCTTTAGCTTGTTGTTAGGTATTTTCACGTATAATATATGTGTTATAAGCTTTTACGAGGTGTTTTATTTATTCCTCTTCACAGCTGCTGTTCCAGAAAAAGCGGTAATATTTCTAGGGTAGAAAAAACATCCAAAAATAAAAAAAGTTCATATGACCATAGATCCTGAAATGTCTCATTCCGAAGATGCGGGCAGTTGTAAATTTATAAGCAGCCGATGATGCTGAATAAGGGCTTTTGCCCGAATAGGTTGTGTTTGGAAGCTAGACATTTTTTTGAAAGCGTGTCGCAGCCGTTCTTTTCATTGTTTATATTTTTTATTGTAAAGAAATGACAAAAAGTATAAAGTACAATAAAAAGAGTAACAAGGCAGTTGACATGAAAATTGCCAGCGAAGTGCCAAAAACGTACCTGACCTCCAATAAAGTATAGATACATAAATGATTCACTGATCAACAGCCAAAAAATATCCTAAATAAAATCAACAAAATATTACTATTTTTAATGTGCTAAAACCGTAATGAAACTTATTTTTTCAATATTAGTTCAAGTTTTAGAGATACGGTAATTATATGTGTTCCTGCTGTGACAGTGTTAATATACTGTAATTCACAAGAATGCACGTGCTACATTTTTATATTCGGCAAGGAAAGATGGTGTAATCGGCATGATTGTGTTACGTTATACATACGTGTACATTATATTGTTTTATATTAGCCATTTTTTCCTCAGTTGGCTGACAGCGTTCATGCAAGATGTCTCGAAAGTGTGTAAACAATCCAGATCAGTTTTGTTACGTGTGTGGTGATGTGACTTTTGCGTCTCAGAGACGGTCTATTACTCCACTAATATCAGCTTTATTTCGGTTGTAAACTAGGTGATCAAGACAAACAGTGGGCACCCCACATCTGCTGTAATACATGTGCTTCAAGTCTGAGGAGCTGGTTAAATGGCAAAAAACGGTCTATGCGCTTTGCTGTCCCAATGGTTTGGAGAGAGCCTACAAATGATATTAATGATTGTTACTTTTGCATGGTACCTTGTGTTGGACAAGCCACAGGTATGTCCAAGAAAAAAAAAATCGGTTATTAACTACCCAAACATACCATCTGCGATGAGACCTGTGCCTCACAGTGACGAAAGTCCTATTCCAAAACCCCCAGAATCCTACACTTGCGAATCAGAAAACGAATCAGATCATGGCGATCGAGTGATTCGTCAGGAAGAAGATATGCCATCAACGTCAAGAGATCCTGATTTTATACCGAGCACGTCATGCCATCAACCGCACAAAATAACACAGTCAGAATTAAATGATGTTGTAAGAGATTTAGAACTTCCAAGATGTAAGGCAGAGTTACTTGGATCAAGACTGCAGCAGTGGAACTTGTTAGAAGACGATGTTTCGGTATGTGTTTTTCGTAAACGCCACAAAGACTTAGAACCATTTTTCAATATCGAGAATAACTTGGTTTTCTGCAGTAACATTAACGGCTTACTGGCGGCTTTAAATATAAACTATAACCCAGAAGAATGGAGATTGTTTATAGACAGTTCAACATTGAGTTTAAAGGCAGTGTTATTGCATATTGAAAATATTTTACCATCTCTTCCTGTAGGGTATGCAGTTTACGTGAAAGAATCATATGACAATATGAAGTACCTAGTGACATGCATAAAATACGATGAGCACTAATGGCATATTTGTGGCGATTTGAAAGTTGTTGCACTTTTACTTGGACTGCAGCTAGGCTACACAAAGTTTTGCTGTTTTTTGTGTGAATGGGACAGTCGGGCAAAGGCACTTCATTACACCAAACAAAACTGGCCTGTTCGTCAATTCCTAGAGCCAGGTCAAAAAAATGTACAGCATATGCCATTAGTAGATTCGAAAAAAAATTTATTACCACCACTGCATATCAAGTTGGGCCTAATGAAAAACTTTGTCAAGGCATTAGATAGAGATGGGTCAGCTTTTCAATACCTGCGTCAGAAATTTCCAAGACTAAGTGAGGCAAAGGTTAAAGAAGGTACTTTTGTTGGGCCACAGATTCGAAATATTTTGAAAGATACACAGTTTGAAAACACTTTAACAGGTATTGAAAAAACTGCTTGGAATGATTTCCGTCTGGTGGTCACTAATTTCTTGGGAAATAGAAAAGATGACAACTATAAAACCCTTGTCAAAAATATGCTGTCATCGTATCAAAAGATGGGCTGTAATATGTCTCTTAAGATACATTTCGTACACTCACACCTGGACTTTTTTCCTGACAATTGCGGAGCAGTGTATTTATGTTGAGAATAATTGCTTTTTGATAAAGCGTGTAAATCTCCAGAGTACGGCGCTGTAAGTTAATTAGCTAGAGGTCAACTTACAGGCTTTACGAATATCTTCTGTTTCCATAAAATTATAAATCACACGTTTCGTGGATAGAAAGCCTTTCCAGCTCTTAAAAACCCTAAGACCCAGCTGTCAACGCCTATACAAGATCGAATTCAAAATGACCACCGTATTGTAACTAGAATGAATGGTACTACTAGCGCCATCTGTTGAGAATCGCGTCGGGGACTCTCCTTCGGTGCAAGACTGACCCCGAAGGTTCTCGAATTACCGACTACCTGCGATACGGAATATACAGGGTGTTTCAGTTTATTGTTGCATAACTTTAAGATTCGATAGACCTTTTAAAATTAATGCATAAAGTCTATATAAACATGGGTCGAAAAATGCGTGCCTTCCGAAATACAGGGTGTTTAAATTTACTTTCTTCAAATAGTTTGATTTTTAATATTTCGAACAATATTTGATGTATAACAGTGAAGATTGGTATACAAGGGTTTTTTGGTACGACAAAACGAACCATGGGCATAGTTTTACTGTAGCCGCTAGAGGGCGCTCTCTACTGTACCTGTAGTGGATTGAAATGACCGAAAAATTTTTCTTAGTGCAATTTTTTGCTTTTTGAATAAAAATCTCATTCTTCGTACTTTTCAACATGAAAAAGCTCTCTTGTGAATTTTCGTTATAGTTAGCCGTTTTTGAGATATTTCGATTTTTAAAGTTCGATGCATTTTTAATTATTTATGGGAAAATAATATTTTTTTACATTTTCGATTTGGGCATTACAAGTAATTAAGATGATCGTTTAGATTGTGTTTTTAAACACAGCAATAATTCCTAACTCCAAAAAACAATGTTAATTTGTTTAATTTTCCAATATTATTTTTTACAAATTAATTGAATATTGGATGCTATTGGATAGTTAGGACAAACATACAAAATCTAAAGTAGTTGCTCGAAATGTAAACCCAATTGTTCAATACACAATTCACATCTACGAATGATCGAACGTGGTATAGCATTATTCAAATAAGGCCTTATTTCATCACATGCATTCCTGATTCTGTCTATTAGCATATCTCTTGTGGTTACGGGAGTCTGGTACACTTTTTCTTTTAGAAATCCCCACACAAAGAAATCTAATGGATTTAGGTCAGGGGATCGTGGAGGCCAGGCGACTGGTCCTACACGGCCGATCCATCTTTCTGGATAATTTTCGTCCAGCCAGTTTCTAACTATTCTCGAATAATGAGCTCTACAACCATCAAGCTGGAATCAGGCCAATCTTCTTAAATCTAACATAACATCATCCCACGATTACGGTAGATACCAATACACACGTTCACACTAAATTCATGCTGAAAATTTCTTTCCCGAACTGCATGCGGATTTTCAAGAGACCAAATATGTTGGTTATGAAAATTTACCACTCCACGTCTAGTGAAGCATGACTCATCTGTCCATAAAACGTCACTTAAAAACTCCCTATTATTATCAGTTCTATCAAGAATCCACTGACAAAATGTGATTCTTCGTTCTCCGTCCCCTGGCTGTAGTCCTTGCACAGGTTGCAAATGGTAAGGACGTCTATGGTCATTTCTAAGAACACGGTGAACATGGCTTGCTGAAATTCCTAAGGCACCAGAAACTCTCCTAACACTTGTGGTCGCATCTCTATCAAACTCACGCAGAATCATACGGGTAAATCTGCGCTGACGAACATTTATGTTTTGATCCCTTTGGAGATTTCCAAAACCATTTTCAATTATTTGGCGATGCACTCTTACAAATACTGAGCGAGTTGGATGTCGTCTGTTTGGAAATCTTCGTGCGTATTCTCTGGCTGCTTCTGCTGCGTTTCCATTTACAAAGCCATACACAAAATGGCATTTTTATGAAACTTACAAAAAAAACAGGTAAAAGAAACTAAATTTCGTGCATTCACAATTGCAAAAAAACGTTCCAGGTTTCAACAGACAACAAAACTAACTGTCAACTAATTGAGGTTTAACCTTATTCTGCTTTCAATTTCAAAAATATTCGCAGGCACAGCCTACTTCTAAAAATTATCGAGATACTGACTTTTTAACGTTATTTTATCATAAATAATTAAAAATGCATCGAACCTTAAATTTCGAAATATCCCACAAACGGCTAACTATAACGAAAATTTACAAGAGAGCTCTTTTATGTTGAAAAGTGCGAAGAATCAGTTTTTTTATTCAAAAAGCAAAAAATTGCACTAAGAAAAATTTTTCGGTCATTTTAATACACTACAGATACAGTAGAGAGCGCCCTCTAGCGGCTACAGTAAAACTATGCCCATGGTTGGTTTTGTCGTACCAAAAAACCCTTGTATACCAATTTTCACTGTTATACATCAAATATTGTTGGAAATATTTAAAAAAAACTATTTTAGAAGGTAAATTTAAACACCCTGTATTTCGGAAGGCACGCATTTTTCGACCCATGTTTATATAGACTTTATGCATTAATTTTAAAAGTTCTATCGAATCTTGAAGTTATGCAACATAATAATTCGTAAATAAGTAGTCAGACATAAACAGTGCTGTACGTAAATGTCCTATCCAGTTAAGTTAAAGTTAGTTGTATTGAGTTTTAAACAAATTAGTGCATTTCTTTTTGTGGAGTCGTTTTAATTCACGCCCAAAAGAACCCAGAAAAACGCTACAGTATATACAGAACTACTT